TTTGAGTCCTCTCTTTCCCTCGCTCCCATAGCCAATCCACTGTCAAGTCTGATCTCTCCAAAACATTTCCTGGATCTAACATGTGGTTCCACCTCCACCGTTCCCAAGCCAGCAGCATCATCCCTTGCTTCGACTACTGAAATAGGCTGACAATTGTTCTCCCCACTTCTACCTTTGCCCATCTATAATTTATAGTTTATTCTTTATTTGGCAGTCCAATGGATCTCTTAAAAATTTTTAAACAGATCATATACTCCCCCACTTGCAACTTTCCCATGGCTTCCCATTGCTTTAAAATAAAATCCAAATTCCTTCCCATGGCCTACAGTCTCTACATACCTGGACTTCCCCTGCCTATTTCTCTGTCCCCATTTCATTACATTCTCTCTCTGTCCTTCTAAGCTCCAGACCACCCCCTTCCCTTTTTCTGCTTCTCAAACTTACCAAACTTCTTCCTGCCATACAGATTTGCACCAGTGGTTCCCTCTGCCCGAAGTGCTCTACTTCCAGATCTTTGCAAGGCTGGATCTTTTTTTGTTATTTAGGCCTCATTCTAAACGTCCCCTCCTCAGTAATCATTTTCCTGGCCACTCAACCTAAAGTCATCCCCCATACTCTCATCACTTCCTATCACATCGTCTGCTTTCTTTTCATCATTTTTTATAGGATTTATAACTTTTTGATATTTTCTTACTTGTTCATTTGTTTCTAGTCATTAACTGTTCCCTCTTTTTTGAGATAAAATGCACATAAAATAAGATTAACCGTTTCAAAATGGACAATTCAGTGGATTTAGTACCTTCACAATTACTAAAACCACACCTCTATCTAGTTCTAAAATATTTTCATCCTCCCAAAAGGAAACTCTATAGCCATTAAGCCACTGCTCCCTCATCCTCCCTCCCCCTTTACTCCTGGTAACCACCAACCTTCATTCTGTTTCTATGTATTTACCTATTCTGGGCATTTTGTATAAATGGAGTCATATAATATATGACCTTTTGTGTCTGGCTTCCTTCACGTAGCATAATATTATCCAGGTTCATCCACATTATAGCATATATCAGTACTTTACTCCTTTTTGTGACTGAACAGTATCGCACCATGTATACATACCACTCTTTGTTTATTCATTCACCCATTGATGGAGTTCTCCTCATTTTTCACCAGTCTACAGACTTGTCTGTCTCATCAAAGATGTGTTTAGAACAGAACCTGCCATACAGTGAGTGCTTAATACATGTTTATTTTATCAGTGACTGAGTGAATGATGAACTCTAGTATTTAAGGGACAGGTATAGGAGGGAGAACCTTGGAAGCAGACTGGGAAAGAGTAACCAGAAAGGCAGTAGGGGAATCAGTGGAGAACAGCATCTTAGAAGTCAGAGAACATAAGAGTATCAAGAGAAAAGGATTAAGGAAGATGAGTTCTTTAAACTGTGTATTCAATTAACAACTAGGATGTCACTGGTGGTCTGAATAGGAACAGTATTGGTATAGAAGTAAAAATGCAGCAGTGGATGGAAATCACTGGACCCAGAACGGTGGGCTGGGCTATGTCTTTCAGGAAATTCTAGGCCCACCATCACATCTTAAGTTCCCTGTGCCCAGACTTACAACAGTAGAGAATTTTCTTTCCTGGTTGACTCTGTAGTTATGAACTCCTCAAAGGAATAATGTAGAATTTTAGAGGTGGAAAGAAACCCCGTGTTAAGTTATACAACACTCTTGAATGCTTTTTGTGCCTGCTAGTGCCAGGCACTGTTTTAGGTGTTGGGGTTAAAACAGTAAACAAAAATAGAAAAAAAAATCCTACTTTAATGGAGCTTAAGTTCTAGAAGAGGGAGGCAAACAAACAAAATATCTTATGGTAAAGTGCTATGGAAAAACAAAAAATAGGATGAGGGGACAGGGAGTCTACAAGGGAGGTGCTACTGTAGGGTAGCTGTGCAGGTGTTTCTGATGAGGTGATATTTGAGCAGAGACAAATCATCCTAAAATCCTAAAATCATCTGATATTAGAACAATGAAGGATTTAGCAGTTTATCCCTTTTTTTTTCTCTTGCTGGACTAGAGTATGTGCTTACTTTGGAGTACTTAAAGATCAAAGTTTTGTTGATCAAAATTTGCTAAGTCCCCTTAGATGTTCCCTTAGCTTAAATGAGGAAATTTATTTACTTTATTGTTATGGAATTTTGTTCTGTTCAAATAATTTTGGCATTTTATGTTGAGATGAAACAAAAGAGCATTTCAGGGCTATAGAGATCTCTAAAACATCCAAAGTTAATGGATTTACGTCTTCTTCTTCCACAATAGCTTAAATCTTACTACCAGTCTCTCCCAAAGAAGGTGACAGATTCCAGAAAAGCAGAAAAGTACTCATGGGATGCCTAACCAGTTTAAACATTTTCTGGGTTTTTTTGTTATTGTTTGTTTTTATAATTTGTATCTAATAGTGGTATATCATGGAGAGGCACTGAAAAATTACATAATACACTTTGAATATAAGCAAAGGTAACTGCTAAGAGTACTACTAGTTTCTGAGGTGAAAAACCTACATATCTTTTAAAAATATGTGATTATGTTCAGTAAATCAAATCACAAGGTAGAAAATTTCAGCAAAGAACTGGAAACTAAAAAGAAAAATCAAATGAAAATCCAAGAACAGAAAAATAATAAAACTGAAATTAACCTACATGAGACCACTTCCTCAAGGCTGGGAGAGGTCAAGGCTGGGAGAGGTGGCTCTTTATCTTATACAGAGAAACCAACACAGAGAGTCAGGGAAAATGAAGAACAAAGGAATATGAAATTTAAAACCCTTCCCACCTGTTTTATGAGGTCGGCAAAATATGATACCAATGCTTGACAAAGACAACAAAGAAACATTACAGACTATTTTTTCTCATGAACATAAAGCAAAAATTCTAAACCAATACGAACAGACCAAAGCCAGTAATCAAGTGTGTTTATTCTAAGAATTCAAAGTTGGGTTAACAATCTAATGTCAAGAAAAAAACACCACATTAACAGAGCAAAGGAGAAATTATATGGTCATTTCAATAGCAGTGGAAAAAGCATTTGATAAATTCACTATCAACTCGTGAAAACAAAGTTAGCAACCTAGGAATAAAAGGAACGTTCTTAATCTTTTAAAAGGAACCTACAAAATATATATAGCAAATATTATGTACAATGATGACATATTGAATGCTTTCCCTTTGCAATTGAAAATAAGAGAAAGATGCTGGCAATACCACTTTTACTACTGAACGTTTACTAGAGGTCCTAGTGTACAATAAGGCAAGAAGAAGAAAAGAAAGGTATAAAGATTTGAAAGTAGGAAGTCTAACTATCATTATTTTGATTCTGAATATAGAAAATTCAAAGAATCTACAGAACTGGAAAACATGTATAAATTCAATTGAATATTTCCATGGGAAAAGGGACTGAGGTCATACCTTGCACTATATGCAAAAAATTAATTCCAAGTGTATACTTAAGTAAAAAATAAAGAGTCAAAGCTTCCGGAAGATAACATAGGATAATATCTTTTATAACTTTGGGACAGGCAAAAGCTTTAAATAGGACACCAAAAATATGAAGCATAAAGGAAAAGATTCATAAGTACGAATGTATTAAAATTAGGAACTTCTGGTTATCAAAACATTCCATTAAGGGAAAAGGCAAGCAAGAGTGGGAGAAGATACTTGCAATACATATACTCAACAAAGGGCTTATATCTAGAATATACCAAGAACTCCTATAAATCAAGAAGAATAAAGAGAATCCAATAGAAAATTAGGCAAGAAAATCAAACAGATACTTTACAAAGGAGGATATCAAAATAGCCAATAAATTTATGAAAAGGGGCTCACCTCATTAGTCACCAGGAAACAAGAATTAAAATCACAATAAGATGTTGCTACACACTGACCATAAAAGTTAAAATTAAGACCAATAACACCAACTGTTAGAATATAGAAAAGGAGAATACTCACACACTACTTGTAGGGATATGAACTGACTCAAACAGTTAGGAAAACAGCTTGACAGTACCTGCTAAAGCTGACCTTATGCATATTCTATAACCTAGCAATTCCACTCTTAGATATAGATCCAATGGAAATATGTACACATGTGCACCAAAGGACACTTGCAAGAATGTTTTTAGAAGCAGTATTTGTAATTGCCCCAAACAGCAATAATTCAAATATCTGTCAATAGTAGAATGGATAAATTGTATCAGTATCATTATATATAGTATTTATATACAATGTAATACTATAGAGAAACAAAAAGGGATAAACTACAGCCAACAATATGGATGATGACTCTCATCAAACAATGTTGAAACAATGTTGAGCAAGGGAAGCTATACAAAAGAACACATATAGTGTAATACCATTTATATAAAATTTACAAATGGCCATAACTAATTTACGATGTTAAAGGTCAAGACAGTGGTTATCTTGGGAGCGAATCAGAGTGACTGGAAGGGCACAGAAGGGAGCCTCTGGAGTACAACTAATGCTCTTTTTATTACTTGGGTGGTAGTTACACTGCTGTGTTCCCTTTTCAATAATTCATCAAGCTGTCCAATTCTGATTTGCACATGTTTCTGTATGTATGTCAGAGTCAATAAAAGAGTTTTTTTTAAAAAAAAAAAAAACAGGTACAAAAAATCACTTGTAGCTCTTTAAAATATACAGATCTTTGAGGGGTCTTAGAATGTGCAGAGGTGACTTGCATTTTTTTAAAAAAAAAGTCACCAGTAATTCTGGCCTGTTCTAGAAGTGAAATACTTCATGAAACATTATGGATCCTTTCCTTCTATAGGTAGTCATGGCCAGATGATTCACAAGACCCATCTTGGAGTCCTATTCAAGGAGCAATGTTTTTTTTTTAACCACTATGTACACATCAGTATATCAGTATCAGTGTAAGAGTAATCACCCTATAAAGGAAAAAAAAACAATAACCAATAATCAGCAACTCACCATTGGGAATACTTCATCATCACTAACCAAAGGACTTGTCATTTCTTTGGTTTGAAATGGCGAAAGTGGCAACGAAGGTGTTGCACTTCTGTTTGGCTCACGATCGTGGCTAAATCTAAAAGAGAAGGACTGGTTGTCGTTATTGCTCCCAAGGACACCTGCTTATTTATGGGGCTAAGGATTTAAATTTCTCTGATATCTAACTGTGAGGAAAACACAACAAAACGTTTGTGCTTGTTATCTGGCTATTTCTTGGAAAATAATTTTGCTGATAATTTCTATTCCACTTAAAAGACTTAGAACAATTAATAATGAAGCAGAAAACTTTTATAATTGTTAAAAAATATTCTGCCATTCTTATTGCCTATGTTTTTTCCCTTTCTGTGTTTTACTGTTTTATCTCTTGGCCATTTAATTAAATAATATTAAAACAGTTTGAGAAAAATTTCAAAACAGTTAACACGGCTGCCCTTGACAGTTCTAAATAGGTACTCTTTTTTTTTTAATTTTCTATTTCACTTAACCTCACTGGCTTTCTTAGCAGAGTTATTCCTTTTTTTTTTTTCTGATGCTAATACGTCTCTGTATAATAATAATTCTAATTTCTAAGGAGCTTAATAATTTATAGAATGTTTTCAATTTACATCATCTCCTGAACTCCTCCCCCTTAGTTGTATGACCTTGAGCAGGTGACTATATCTTTCTGTGACCTTAATTTTTTCATTTATAAAAAAAGGTTGTTATGAGAATTGAACTCCACAATTTGATGAAAGGTGCAGTATAGAATTTGCTGTTTGTGCTAAGATATGGGGTAGAAGATGAGACTGAACAAAATACCAGTGAGATTTTAAATTTTGGTATGCTGACTAAACAAATGAATAATGAAACAAAGAAACAAACCAACTTACCCTAAAATTTTACACAAAAAGTCCTAACAGTAGGGGCTGTTTGGAGCTAGATAAATATTTTTTCTGAACCTTAATTCATGAAAATGGGGTTTAAATTTAATCAAAATCATCAAAGACCATGAAAACATAAAAACCCCTTGAATTTAAAATTATTTATTTTTACTAATAATTCAAATTCTCCACAGGTATTGATTAACCATTTTCAAAGTCTTCATATTTTAACTTCACACCATTCAAAAAAGTTACATTCTTTTCCTCTGTTCTTATCCAAAGACTAGCTATATAAACTTGTTTTTTATTATGCAAACATTTTCAAAGCTATGCATACAAATAGCAATAAAAGGTAAGTGAGGCATCTGTAAATTGGTACATAAAAACAAACACAACATGCTTTACATTTTTACTTATCTTGAAATAGATCTTTTTTTAAAATCCATTCTTCCAAACCATAATTACCATGGAAACAGAACAGCAAATTAAACTGAAATAACATGGTTTATGATGTGCACAATAAAATGAAACATCCCACAATTCAAATAGAATTACAACAATTGCCTAGTACATCTGCATAGAATCTTCAGCTGAACCTTTTAATTTGAGTGAGGCTACCATCTATACTTCAAAGCACAGTGGGGAAAAAATAAGATAATTATAGAAGTGGTTCAAGAAATATACGTCTCTCTATAATCTCAATTAGACAGAGAATTCAGGGAAAGTATTATTTGTCTTAAATTATCTAAATAATTATCTCAATTATCCATTTGGCTTTGGATGTATAGATACAATTTTACGGTCTTAACTACTAAAATTTATGTGTGAACATTCTCTTTATTGTAAGATCAATAAAATGTAGAAATTGAAAGGAAAGACTACATTATGAAGTAAAGTACTTTTGCTTTAAATCATCTTTATATCTAAGTTGTTCTTCTAGAATACAGCTATTCAAATACTTCATAAAACCACCTTGCAAAAACACGCTAAGAATATCAATTTAAAAGCTATCTTAAAAATTATTTCAGAAGGCTTTTAATACACGCTCACAAGCCGGTCTGTTCAATTAGCTTTTCCACAGGCCCCATTCTAAGGCCTCTGCCTGCTTTGGCAGGAGTGCAGGACCTGGCTGCTTTGTAGGGGAGCAGAACTCTATCCAACGGGAGTCAGCTTGAGACCTCAGTCAACTCTGCACAGTTTACAGAGTTGTCCGACTGTACATCCAATCCTGGCCCTCCATTAATTTTATAACCCTCCTTGGGCTGTCGCATAATGTCCTCAGCATGGAACAGGATCCCTGCACAAACTATGCTAATTTACCTGCTTCCAGCCTTGCCTTCTAATACTCCACATAACGCTCCCTTATTCTATGAACTACTCATTACTTCCTGGCCTAGAACTCTTTCGCCTGCTGTGTTTTTCTCCTGATTAAGCAACACCATGGTGCCAAAACTTACTCAACTTACTTTTTTGCTTCTAACCAGCTATTCATTCCTTGACAAGGGATCCTGTAGAGTGGTTAAGACAAACCTGACTTTGTGGTTTTTTAGTATTACAAACTTTTAATTTATTGACTAGATTTGCTTGTGATTACCAAAATCTTTCCAGTACAGGATATAATTTTTAAAGCCGTATATTCAGTTTTAAGTATGAATCGTATATAGAGATAAAGCTCCATTTATTATAAAACTGATTTGCCATTAAAATTAGTTGTATATTAATAGCTCTGGATACCACTACTCTACGTGAGAATGTAAATGATCCTTAAACTTCAAAACTCTAACTTTAAAAAACTTTTAAAACATTTAATACATCCTCACCAAATTTAATTTCATCTCATTCATTAATTTTTTTTTAAAGTGCTGAATAACTTTCTTATTGGAAAGTAAATCCTCTGGAATATCCTAAAAGGCTTCACATTTTAAGTGGATGAGCATGAAAATTTTCTTATCGCTTCTAACAGGAGTGAAAAACAACAACAAAAACTGAGTCACCTCCAAGTGGATAAAAGATTATTTTAAGAATACAGTATACAAATCTTCCTCAGGTAAAAGCAAGAAGTGGCTAAAAATTAGACTACAGACTTAAAACTTTTGTGGAACGTTATCTCTATATACCTTTACCTAAAAGCCTTTTCCTTTCTAAAATAGCTTAATATGACCTTATTGCATTAACCATTGATATGTAAATATGACTATGTATTTTTTAAAATTATTTTCTGCCTAATCAATACACACAGCTTTCTCTATTTGACTTCACTGAGCCGTGCTGTGAGGGAAGGAAAGCACATTGCCTTTTTCACTTGCTAAAATTAATAGATATGTGATTTACAGTTCTCCACTGGTGAGTTCACAGTGTCCTTGCCTCTCAACAACTCTTTCCCCATAGTGGGTTTTATATGGTAATAATTTATTCAGAACATTTGAAATGCTGTTTCTTTTAAAAAAATCAGGTCACTGGAGAACACTGAAATCAGACAAGCCATTAAAACAAATTTAATGAAACTTTCAACAAATCAGACTGGCAGGACACAAGGCTTTGCAGCAGGAATAGTCACCCAAACTGCTTATTAAGATAGTCTCCCGCTGAGCATTTTACCTCTTATGCTGCTCTCTGTGTCCCCTACTGTCTTGTTTTCGTTAGGCATGTTTAACACATTCCCTACTGCCTGGCAAAGAGAAAAGGGAGCAATCCAAACAATAAAAACACTCTTTAAAAATAGTAAAAAGCAGAGTAGCTGTCTTTTTGTTTAAATAACAACACCCAGTACCTTCATCCAAGGCTTTCAAAGTTATTCCCAACAAGCAAGAATAGGAAACAGTGTTGTGCATCTAATGGGCACTCAACACAGACCAGTGACTAAGATACACTGGAAGATCCTTTGTAACACAGGGGCCTGCTTTCTCCTACAATGAGAAACTATACAGATGGGGTGGTGAGTTGACCCATGGAGAAATGAATCCATAGTGTAGGGAAGCACTTTGTAAAGCGTTCATTCTATATTAGAAAATACATTCTTACCCTCAAATCAAGATTAGGCCCCTTTGGACAGATTTTCAGTTATACTGGCCGGTCAACGTGGGCACGCTCACCAGAGAACCAGGCCCTGGTGGCGCAGTGCCCGCTTTCATCCTCCCCACACTGCTTTTGTGCTGCTGCTCCCACCCCATCACAGCACCCCACGCACAGTGCTTGTTTTGGGTAGCAGCCAGTCTTCCCTTATTCCCTTCCCTAACCACCTGAAGAGGAGTTATTACTTTAGCACTTCTGAATGCTTTCTGTTTCTTACATCAGTTTAGAATATATCCCTCTAATACGTACAGGGCTGGGGCGGTGAAAGTGGGAGAGAGCTGTACTACATCTGCAAGAATGCTGAGCAGACATTTTTAGTACGGCCCCTGGACTTATGGATTTATCTACCTGTAGAACTGGACCGCTTAGTTACAAAGATAAGCCTGGCATCACTCCTCCCCAACAGGACTATCTTTTGAGGAAATGTCAGATTCAGCCATTTGTTTATCCACCAAAATAATATACTTTTTAGGTACTGTGAGTTGTTGGAGTAGTATTAACATTATTATAAATACTAACAATTTTGTTGGTAATAATAACATCAGTGATAATGGCTAACATTTAGGGGACTATATATTTTACATGGAACTATGTTTTCTCCTATAATCCTCAGAAAACCCCTATAACTATTATCTGTATTTGTCAGATGGGAAAACAAAGGTTAAGTGAATTTCCCGAAGTTGCAAATATTAATTATATTTTATGAAAACAATATGTAAAGTTTTCATGCTAAGTATTATGAGCTTCAAAGCAAAAGTTGTATAAGTTTGGGGAATGTTGCACATCACACCTGTTCCTGGAAACTCACAATGTAATTAGCAATATTAATGACTTTGAGAAATCCTGTAGAAAAGAAACTTGTTTGTCTTGCTGAGCAAGTATGGGAAAATGGTGAAAGAACTCCAGAGACAGCTCTGACTCCATAAATACTTTACTAAAGTTGAAGAAATTAGCCAATTTTATGGCTGATGTATTTACTTAAATTTTGAACTAAGACATTGTAAAGAGCCTGGGGATAATGAGGGCAGCAGATAGTGATTTTCCACACTCTTCTTTTCACACAGAAAAGACCTCTCTTACGCATTCATAGGTTCTTTCCTATGAAATGACCACAGTTTTTCACCACTGCCGGAGTGTCAATATAAAGTGTATATATATTTGAAGTTAAGTCAGACATGCTATCTTCCTATATTTTGACGTAAAAAATAAGATTACTTATTTGTATATGTTGTATGCCACATCAGGTTCTAAGAAGGGTGTGAAGTGACGAAAACTTATTTGAACACTCTACCCATTTCACTGTTATACTTTGAAAGCTATCGGCAACACAGAATTTCATATAAAAAATGGTATATCTAGACTATTGAATTATCACCATAAAATAAATGTTAAACAACTGAAGAGAAAGTATATAAAATTATAATTTGAATTGTTTAAAAATAAATGTCACTTAAATGTCTGTACATTTATGTCCTTATGTAATGGTGTCAGCATACCAATCTTCATTTTTTCCCTTATTTTTTTGGCTCTGATAGGCATACCTTCCTGTTTCTTTGTAGGTATTTTGGTTAGCCCATGCTGATTTTCCAGTGGCCTGAAGTTTTGCAAGATCATTTCGGAGCCTTTCATTCTCATATTCCAGTTTGTTAATAGATGTATGCCTTGCATGTTCCCTGTTAGTGAAGTCCATACTCTAGAGAATAAAATAAACTATCATTGAAAAAATTGTTACTTACAAGTGACGCATGTTTTCTGTGCGTTTGGACACACGTTGGAAAGACCCTTTAATTTGAGTCAAGTGATGTCGCTCTACTCCTGTGTGCCTCCTAAATGCCTCTTCTCACCCCCGCCTTCTCACAACACAGGTACTCAGGGACAGCTGCCACTGAACACATTGCAGTAAAAGGGGTGCACACACTACTGCCCACGCTCCAGTACAGAAAAGGCTCACTCCACGCATTACCGTTCTCTGCAGCTAGAAGAAATTGGCTAGATAAAGGAGTTTTTGTGTTTATAGGGTATGCCTTCTAGTGCTGATTAATAATGGAACCAGAATTAACATAGCTTTCAATTTTAAAAGATTTTTTTCTGATTAAAACAATACGTGTCATTATAGAAAATCACACATCAATTCCCCACTGTTAGGTGATGCAACAAATTATATACTAAATCCATGTAGACTGGGATATGATTCTGGACCATTCTATACCAAGATCATTAGATCCTGGTTGAGAGCGTGCCAATACCACACAGTTTTGAGCAATGTAGCTACATGATAAAGTTTTACTCTCTAGTAAGGGCAACCCAATTTTAATGTCTTCATAAAAGAATAAGCAGCATATTTAAATCACAAAATGAGAGGTTTAGAGCAAGAAGAAAGATTCCTGATGCTGTTTTAATTAAATGCTGTAAGAAGTTTCTTAGGGAGAGTCTAAACTTTTTTTTTTTTTTTGCGGTGCGCGGGCCTCTCACTGTTGTGGCCTCTCCCGTTGCGGAGCAACAGGCTCCGGACGCGCAGGCTCAGCGGCCATGGCTCAGGGCCCCAGCCGCTCCATGGCATGTGGGATCTTCCCGGACCGGGGCACAAACCCATGTCCCCTGCATCGGCAGGTGGACTCTCAACCACTGCGCCACCAGGGAAGCCCTAAACTTTTTTCTCACAAAATTTTAAAAAACAGGATATATACTCACATGAAAACTCATGAAAATACTTTAAATGACCCCATGTAGTCCTTTATAGTGTTATGATTCGAATACCCATGAATTATGTAGTTGCTGATTAAACAATAGCTCTCTGCTTTCAGAAGGATAATATTTTAGCACAAAAAGCATGACATGAGTAAAATATCTTTTGAAGCTACAAATGTCTATGTTTCAAAGCTCATAAGACTATAGTTGATTATGGCTTAGAACTTTCATTTATAAGTTTCTAAATTTAAGGCTTTGAGTGCCATTTCATATGGGCTGCCATGCCATAAAGTCATTCAAAAATTTTTGACTAATTGCACATTTAAAATTATTCATATACTATCATATTAGTATCAACACTGATAAGTATAGAAATATATATTAGGCATTTAAAATGTTTACCTATTTGTCTTATTTTTTGCTTCACAGGCAAAGTCTGTTTATTAAAATTTTTGTTTACTGCCTAATGTATTATAGAAGTTTATGAATTTTAGAAAGATCTTACTTTTGAATGAAAAAAAAAGTGCTCCAGGAGATCAAGTGTCCTCAAAACAGTACAGCAAGGGTTATATGCTTATATGTCTATTGACCAAGATGCCCTTTGGGAAAGAAGGGCCATTCAAGGTATTTCTCTGCTTGTTAGGCCCTTGCGTTTAGTATATCTCAACTTTGCTCATTTGAGATACACTGGTGCATATAAAAGAGTAATCTATAATCTGCTTTAAAAGAGAAAGGATTGTTTATTCTAAAATTAGAGCAGATTTGTGATAAACATAAAGGAGGCAGATCTTATAAAATTTGTACTCATAAGGAGAATACTCACACTCACAGATCTGTTTGAAAAAGATCTTAGAAAAGATTCAAAATTTTACTCCTGAAAAGACATCTACTGGTCAAAATATAATTCTTGATGGTCTGCTGCTCTGTTACAATTTTATTCAAAAATTTTCTATAAAATTAGATTTCATCTGTGACTCTTTGGCCCAGTGTTGGTTTAAAGTAATTAAGAATGATAGTAATGATTTTTTTAAAAACCCAGAATTTTCTAAATGCACCAAAATTAAATGTGTTGTGAGCATGACCTGAAAGAATTACACAGGTAATGTATTTACACGATTTGTATTTAAAAGCGTTTTCCAGTTTCTTGGACAACATTTTGGGGCTCTCTCGTTTTATTTTTTTCCTAAATACTTTTCTAGGGATTTCAGAAATATATCCTCCACTAGATGGTTATCATGCATTGATTAAACTTTACCTCTGTACTGCTGATCAGTTCTTTTACAGGCCCATTATCTCAATTTCTTGTTTTTTTCCTCCCAAATTTTACGGTTTCATAGTTTTTTTCTTTCGACTTTTTTTCTTGAAACGGAAAAACCTGCTGGTGCCTGTTTACTTGAACTCACTGGCTCAAGGCCAGTTGAGTTGCTGAACCGTCTGAATGATAGTAATTTGTATGTGTACTTTTTCTCTTAAATTCTTGTGTATTCTACAATAGTAATTAGGCTAACAAAGTACTTCTACAGAAGGACTGGCTTTAATCATGTTAGTTTAAGGTTATTATATTAATTTTTAGTATATAAATGGATTTTTAGATGCTTATGAGGGTACTAATTTTTTATGCTGTTATTTTGTTTAGCAAACTTTATGGATAGTGAAAGGCAAATTAGTCTTAAAAATTACCATAAATTCTGAGTTCTGATTAAATCTAACTGGATTACACCTTCATTAAATAAAAGAAAATTTAACAAATACAAATATAGGTCTAAATAAATATGGAATCACAAAAATCTATCATGATAAAATTGATTCTTCATAATTTACCCAGGAGCAGAATAAAGATAAACCCCTCACTTTTCTCCATACAGTCAAGTTTTTGCACAAGAAACCTCTTGCTAGTACTGTTCCTATTCTAAGTGTCTCACTGAGACCGGAGGACAACTTACATACCAGGTGGATAGTCCCAACAGTAAATTCTCCAGAGGAAAATGGGGGTGGTCACAGCCCCAGGTATGCAATAGGTTAGAACTGAGTGCAGGGCTGCTGTTCCTACCTGGGTAGGTCCTACCACTGGGTGGGTGTCATTTTTCAACCTTTTTTTCCCCTAAGTGTAAATAATCAGGGAGTTTCACAATTAATTAAGCAGAAAAGTTCTCAAAGCTCTAGTTATTCAGAAATGACCTACCTTTATATCAGTAATTCCGTTTGTCTAGGAAGGAAAAAATAATTGTTATTTTAATATTATACAAATACTACATATTTTAGAAGATCTAAAAATAATGATGTAAATATTATGTTTCTTATTGCACGAGGTAAAGTTTCAGCACACATTATTTAATTGTATGTTTACTTATTAATTTTAGTGATTTCAGAGCAAATTAACTATCTAATTATGGGATTTTAACATATAGCAGATATGAGTTTTCTTTATTTAATCTTTAAACAGATAAGTGCTAAATAGGTGACAATAGATTATAAAGGCTTAAAGAGCCGAGTCATATTGAATTCTTTTTTATTATTCAATAGACACAAGATTTTTCTCTTTGGGCAGTGGCTTGACTATTTCAATTATCAAAGTCAATTCCAAATCTTCATATATAAAAAATGGAGAGCAATTATAAAGTCAACTTCCTATGAGGGGAATGTGTTCAAGATGGCATAGTAGGAAGATCCTGAACTCACCTTGTCCCAGGGGCACACCAAAATTACAACTACTTATAGAGCAACTACCTATGAGAACAATCTGAAGACTAGCAGAGAAGATTTTCCATGACTAAAGTTATAAAGAAAGAACCACAACGAGACGGGTAGAAGGGGTGGAGACACAGTATGGTCAGCACCCACATTCCTGGATCAGCAACTTTCAAACTGGAAGAATATCATAATTGCAGAAGTCCTCCCCAAGGAGCAAGGGATCTGAGCCCCACATCAGGCTCCCCAGACTGGGGGTCCTGTACCAGGAAGATGAGCCCCTAGGATGTCTGGCTTTGAACACCAGCAGGACTTATGTTAAGCCAGAGGGCTACTAGGGAACAGAGACTCTGCTCTTCAAGAAAACACACAAAATTTCTCATGCTCCAAGTCTCAGCACAGAGGCAGAGTTTGAAAGGATCCGGGATCAGATAAACTTGCTAATCTTGGAGAGCCTCCTGGAGAGGCAGGAGGCAACTAGGACTCCCCTGGGGATAATGATACAGGTGGCAGCCATTCTTGGGAGCTAGTTCTACCACATGGACACCAGCACTGGCAAGCGCCATTCTGGAGACCTCCCTCTAGCCTCTTAGTGCCAGGGGTTACCTGCCCACCAGCTGGATGGCATCAGTCCCAGGACTTCATGGGCTGCACATCCAGCTGTGCCAGGACATGGCCCCACCTATCAGAGGTCTGGAACCAGCCTCAGGCCCCACAGGCCCCATGGTCAGCTATGCTGGGGCCCAACCCCACCCACCAGTGGGCCAGCATTCACCACATGAGGCAAAGCCTGGCAGCCACCCTCGCAAGGGCCCAGCCCTGCCAACCACTGTGCCCACAGTAGTTAGCCATGCCATAAGAGAAGGGTTCATGCAGCCCACATATGAGGCATCCCAAGAGCACACAACTCTGGTGAATAGAGGGGAGTGTTCTGCTGGGCCCCATAGGACATCTCCTACATAAGGCCACTTCTCCAAAATCAGGAATCATAATCAACCTACCTACTATGAAGAAATAAAAACAGAAAATTAGGCAAAATGAGGTGAGAGAGATATATATTCCATATGTAGAAGAAGTAGGTGAAGGGAGATAAGCAATCTACCCAATAAAGAGTTCAAGGCAATGATTTTAAAGATGCTCAATGAGCTCAGGAGAAGAATGGATGAACACAGTGATAAGTTTAACAAAGAGTTAGAAAATACAAAGAAGAACCAAAAGGAGCTGAAGAATACAATAACTGAAAAAATACACTAGAAGGGATCAATAGGAGATTAGATGATAGAGAGGAATGGGCCAGTGAACTGGAAGACAGTAGTGGAAATCACCCAACCTGAACAGAAAAAAGAAAAAATAATTAAAAAAAATGAGGACAGTTTAAGATACCTCTGGGACAACATCAAGGATACTAATATTCACATTATAGGGGTAGCAGAAGGAGAAGGGAGAGGGAAAGGAGCAGAGAACTTACTGGAGGAAATAATAGCTGTAAATCTCCCTAACCTGGGGAAGGAAACAGACATCTAGGTCCAGGAAGCATAGAGAGTCCCAAATAAGATGAACCCAAAGAGGCCTTCACCAAGACACATTATAATTAAAATGGAAAAAAATTAAGGTAAAGAGAAACTTAAAAGCAGTAAGAGGAAGCAACTAGTTACATACAAGGGAACTCCAAAAGACTGTCAGCTGACTTTTCAGCAGAAATTTTGCAGTCCATCAGAGGATGGCATGATATATTTAAAGTGATGAAAGGGAAAAGCCTACAACCAAGAATACTCTACCCAGTAAGGCTATTATTAAGATTTGAAGGAGAGACAAAGCTTTTAGCAAAAGCTATAAGTGTTCAGCACCACTAAACTGGATTTACAGGAAATGTTACAGGGACTTCCTTAAGCAGAAAAGAAAAGGTCACTACTAGAAATATGAAAATTAGGAACGGAAAAACTCTCATTGGTAAAGGCAAACATACAGAAGGTAGTAAAGCTAGTAGAAGGTTAAAAGACAAAAGTATTAAAATCATCTATATGTAAAGATGTACAGCTTTACATATGTAAAGCTAGTAGAAGGTTAAAAGACAAAAGTATTAAAATCATCTATATCTATAATAAATAGTTAAGGAATACACAAACCAAAGAGATATAAAACATGACCTCAAAAACATTAAACGTGAGTGGGGAGTAAAAATGTAGAGTTGTCAAAATGCATCTGAACTTAAGAAATCATCATAAACATAGTCATCAAATCACAAGGAAAAAAGCAAAAGAAGAAGAAAAGAACAAAAAACAACTATGAAAACAATGAACAAGATGGCAGTAAGCACATAATTATTAATAATTACTTTAAATATAAGTGGCCCAAACACTCCAATCAAAAGACACAGAGTGGCTGAACAGATTAAAAGACAAGACCCATATATATGCTGCCTACAAGAGACGCACTTAGATCTAAAGACACAAACAGACTGAAAGCGAGGGGATGGAAAAAGGTATTTTATGCAAATGGAAATGAAAAGAAAGTTGGGGTAGCAATACTATCAGACAAAATCGACTTTAAAACGAAGACTATAATGAGCCAAAGAAGGACATAGCATAATGACAAAGGGATCAATTCAAGAAAAAGATATAACAATTGTAAATATATATGCACCCAACATGGGAGCACCTAAATACATAAGCAAATATTAACAAACATAAAAGGAGAAAGTGAAAGTAATACAATAATAGTAGGGGACTATAACAACCTACTTACATCAATGGACTCATCATCCAGATAGAAAATCAATAAGGAAATACTGCCCATAAATGACACACTAGAGCAGTTAGAATTAATAGGTACATACAAAACATTTCATCCCAAACCAGCAGAATACACATTCTTTTCAAGTGCACATGGAAAATTCTCTAGAATAGATCACATGCTAGGCCAGAAACAAGTCTCAATACATTTAAGAAAATTGAAATTATATCAAGCATCTTTTTTGACTACAATACTATAAGACTAGAAATAACTAAACGGAAAATTGTAAAAACAAAACAAAACAAAACATGCTGTTAAACAACAAATTGGTCACTGAAGAAATAAAGAGAAAATACAAATATCTGGAGACAAATGAAAATGGAAACACAATTCGAAATCTATGGGAATGAAGCAAAAGCAGTTCCAAGAGAGAAGTTTACAGTGATACCAGCCTACCTCAGGAAACAATAAAAATCTCAAACAATCTAACCTTGCACCTAAAGAAACTAGAAAAAGAAGAATAAACAAAACCGACACTTAGCAGAAGGAAAGAAATCATAAGATCAGAGCATAAATAGATGAATTAGAAGCTAAAAAAATAGAAAACATTAATGACACTAAGAGCTGCTCCTTTTAAAAGATAAAAAATTGATAAACTTTTTAAAAGATAAAAACTTGATAAACTTTTAAAATGAGTCAGACTCATAAAGAAAAAAAAGAAATACAGCCCAAATAAATAAAATCAGAAATGAAAATGGAGAAATTACAACTGACACCACAGAAACACCAAGGATTGTAAAAGATTATTATGAATAATTATACACCAATAAAATGGACAACCAAGAGGAAATGGATAAATTTTTAGAAATGTACAATCTTCCAAAACTGAATCAAGAAGTAGAAAATATGAACAGACATTACCAGTCATGAAATTGAAGCAGTAATCAAAAAACTCCCGATAAATAAAAGTGAAAGATCAGACAACTTCACGGGTTAATTCTACCAAACATTTAAAGAAGAGTTAATGCTGATCCTTTTCAAACTATTCCAAAATATTGAGGGGGAAGGAATGCTTCTGAACTCATTCTGTGAGGGAGGCCAGCATCAGCTTGATGCTGAAACCAAACAAAGACACCATACACATACACACACACACACCCTACAGGCCAATATCACTGCTGAACATAGATGCAAAAGTCCTCAACAAAATACCAGCAAATCTAGCTCAACAACACTTTAAAAAGATCATACACCATGATCAAGTGGGATTTATCCCAGGGATGCATGGATGGTTCAATATCTGCAAATCAATCAATTTGATACACCACAGTAACAAATTGAAGAATAAAAGTCGTGTGATCGTCACAATAGATACAGATAAAGCTTTTGACAAAATTCAACATCCATTATGATAAAAGCTCTCCAGAAAGTGGGCATAGAGGGAACATACCTCAACATAATAGAGGCCCTATATGACAAACCCACAGTTAACATCATACTCAACAGTGAAAAGCTGAAAGCAATTCCTCTAAGATCAATACCAAGACAAGGATACCCACTCTTGCCACTTATTTAACATAGTACTGGAAGTCCTAGCCACAGTAATGAGACAAGAAAAACAGATAAAAGGATTTCAAATTGGAGAAGAAGAAGTAAAACTGTCACTGTTTGTAGATGACACGAAACGATATATAGAAAACCCTCAAGATGCCACCAAAAAACTATTAGATGTAATAAATGAATTCAATAAGTTTCAGGATACAAAATTAATATACAGAAATCCTT